GTCAAATTTCCAGATCTGGCTGGATACTAGAAAGTTACCACCACTCAGTCATCAACAGTATATTCTTTCCATACCATGAATGACACACACACACACTCTCGAAAAGTAACAGAGGTCTGGGATACAGCAAGCTATTTAACAGGGTGACAAGTACATAGGGGAGACTGTGAACAGAAGTTATTAAATGTCTAGGTTTAGCAGAGGTTTAGAAGTTTAATTCAATTAAGAAATCCCCTACCAACATGGCTCTCAACTGGAAGACTGCCCCATAGTAGCCCTTTACACCATTCATGCTGCAAAAACATGCCCCACTCCTCCACCACACCAACCAGATTTGCCCTAACCAAAAATTTATGAACTACAGTGAACTGCTATAAAGCCTAACAGACAATGATTATTCACAGGTTGTTTCCATATACCATAGATCCATATGCAAAATTTAAAACATCACGCTGCCTTTAGTTAAGTAAAGCTAGTTTGCATATGTACAACCACTTCTCATCGTTTAAATGTTTCTCAAACTGCACCAAAATTTCAGATGACATTATCAACTAGATGAGTGACTCATGTAATACAGTATGGATAAGTACTATTGTATACTACAGACATTTTCTGTCTTTAAGTGATTTTTCAGACTATACACATAGGTCGACATCTCCCCAGTTCAACATTTTCAGTTTTGTATTGAGGCATTTACCTAGAGTAATATAAAGAGGAACTGCAACTAACAACACATGATCAACGGTATAAAAGTATGCCAGGCTGGATAGGTTAACCCTTAGGCACTCCTTCACTAAGAGCAAAACATGTTTTAGCTGCAACTACAAAGCAATTATCAACAATTGACCTAAGCAGTGTGCATGTTATTGACGATTTTAAAAAATTAAGTCTTGTAACTAATCACAAGTTAGACTGCCACTGATCCGGCAATACAAAAATATACTCATCTATTTCTTCGCTAGGGGAAGGCTTTCTTTTTACTGACAAGGAGTCATCTGGGTCAACATGGTACAGCTCTTTGAGGTTATTTTCCTGAGTTAATGGTGTAATACATAAAAAACCCAGATGATTTGTTTAAGTCTCACAAAACTAGGAAAGATTAAGCCACAATACTTCTAGAGGAGAAGAGAGATACCAGCGGTCATTCCTTTATTTCATAAATTGGATAAGCTATCAAACTTGAGATGTTTTAGAGTTCTTCAGGTCAGGTTGACATTAGATCACATTTGCTAGCACACCTAGACAGACAGAAGTCACCTGTGTAGACAGAGTGTCTACAATACTAACCCCCAACAAGAATTTGCATAAACCCTAGCTTCCAAAATTACTAACTGCATTTATCACCACTTCCGTTTTAAGCTAGCTACTTTAAGTGACATTATCTTACTAGTAAATGGATCCCTATCAAGTGTTTGTTTTGCAGGAAGAACCCTACAAACACTGACAAAAAGCACGGTCCTTTAAGCTGTAAGTTGCAAGATAACAAGCCTACCATCCAGCTAAAAAGCCTTCATGTTTGCAGTCGGGTAATTTTCCGTTCTATCAGACAAAGATAAAACTGAGGGCAGAAAAACTGAGGACAACAAACACTGGACTGAAAGCGGTATAAGAATCTCTTCTGTGACCCAAAAGACATTTTGTTTCAGAACAGCTTTAGTCTGACCTTAAGCAGCATTTCTCATGTATGTCAAGGTACTATGTAGCCCTGAGTCTCTCGCTCCTCTCATACCAATATCCTCTGCCTATCCAGTTTACAGTATACCTTAAATCTACATCAATTAGAGGGGATTACAGAAAGACAAAAGAGATTCCTCTTCTTTAAATAGGCATGAAGCTCAATTACAGCAAACATTTATTTAGGCCCAGGAAGGTTTAGAGAATGAAGTATATCTTCAGATGCTACTATAGAGACTAACTTTTTCTACCGGTTGATTATTAGTTAGAATAGTATAAAAGAACAAGTCTGAGAAAGGCATTCTCTTTTTCTGCTCTGAGGCATCAAGATACTTAAGGATGAAAAGCACTTTGTTTAGAAACACACATTTTTGAAAGCAGAACCTTTTAGAATTGCCTGGTACCTTCATTTAAGGAACAGGATGGAGGTTGAAAATGATAAGAGCTTTTCTAATAGAGAAAGCATTTTTGTCAGAAAGTTCAAATCAGAAGTAGACATAACAGGATTCCAAATCTTTTTTTGCTGAACTATTTTCTTTAAAAAAAAAAGTTAAGGTTTTTCTGATTGTGGTAGAAATCCAAATGCCACTTCTGCACCTTGTGTTTTAACTTTTCAAAATGGGGGAACATAACTAGGGCATTACTAGTCACCTGCATATGCATGAGTTGTATATTCCTAAATATTCTAAGTTTCTCACATTTTTTACTATGAGAGTATCTGGTATCATTTAAACCAGGGGCAGGCAATTATTTTCACTGGAGGGCTGCTTATCAAGGTTTAGTGAGCTCTGGAGGGCCACACTGATAGACCCACCCCTTGACAGCTGCCTTATCCCCTGGTCACCATCTTGGGACCAGAAGTTGTCCCCTAACCTCTGACCTTTGCCACTGGAAGTCCCTTGCCTTGACCTTTTAACACCTACTATAATATATTTTAGTTTTATTACAAAAAATATTTTGTCATGATTTGTATTTGTACATATAGAGTGTAGTGTATATAGATAGAGGTGATTGCATAATAACCAAAAAATAAAATCTTAGTTTTGTATTGTGCGCGTGTGCACATTGGGGCGGGGTGTGTGCAAGGAGCAATAGTCCCGATGCGACTGTCACAGGTGGTACAGGCTGCTACATAGGCTGCCACAGGTCGTAAAGGCAGTCTGTGTGAAGCATACAGCAAATTGGGGAGGGAACAGGGAAAAAAGCAAAGTAGTAGATTGGGCATAGAGCACAGGGAGGGAAGCCGGAAGCAGAGCAGCAGATCAGGCAGGGGAAGGGGACTGGAACGGTACTTGGGGAAGGTACGGAGCTCATCTGGGGGTTGCCTGCCAAGAAGGTTGGTCCCCGCTTTTCTATAAGTTATTCTGACTTTCAGTAATGTCCCCAAGAGCCAACAGCACAGTATTAGATTGCTCATTTCCTCTGCTCCTCTTTTTAAACCAACACTTTTCAACCTGTCGTATCCTACCTTTAAGTCTAAAGTAATACCCAGCATTTTTTTTCCACTTCAGAGTACTTAAAAGATGGTTTTGCTAACCTAGCAGAATCCACTTGACTCTTTAAAGTCAGCTTTCATTGTAGTATATGGGACAACTTGGTTTCTGCTGAGGCCCAGTAACTCATTCCACATGCAATGTGCACATCAGTCCACTAGAAAGCAAATACATTTAAAGTACTGGATTTTTTTTAAATGAAAAAGAGGAAGTCTGTGTTCTTTAAAATGAAAAGTTTTAAATGGTCATGAAATTTTGGGGTTTGACATTAACAATTTCTCTAGATCCGATTGTTGTATTCTGATTTTTTATGGTTACAATTCAAAAGATGAAGAAAAAAAAACAAAACGAACTTGTAAAACTTTAGGGCAGACCCTATGAGGAGAGGCTATGGGACCTGAACCTGTTCAGCCTTCACAAGACAAGGCTGAGAGGGGACCTGGGGGTCATCTATAAACTTACCAGGGGAGACCAGGGGAATGGGAGAGACCCTGTTCACCCAAGCACCTCCCTGAGTAACAAGGAATAATGGCCATAAGTTGTCTGAGAGTAGGTTCAGGCTGGGCATTAGAAGGGACTATTTCAAAGTCAGGGCAGCTAGGATCTGAAACCAACTTCCAAGGGAAATGGTGCTGGACCCCCTACCTTGGAGGTCTTTAAGAGGAAGCTTGACAATTACCTAGCTGGGGTCATATAAGCCCAGTATTCTCTCCTGCCTGGGGCAGGGGGTCAACTTGAAAACCTATTTAGGCCTCTTCTGACCCTGCATCTATGAATCTATGCACTTCATTTACAGGGAATGAGAGAAAGTTTAAAAGGAAATTAGGTATTTGATTATGTTTCTTGCTTTTTTTGGCTCTTGTCATCATTAAAAGGTAGTCATCCCAGGATAGTTCTGTTTCATATTTGTATAATATTTCAGTGATATGTCAACCTTGCACAGAAGTAATCCTGTAAGATATAGGTTTAAGAAGTTAACATAGGATACAGGGATGCCACACTACTCCAAAATGTTTAAAGCAGCTTCATATAATTAAATAGGCTGCTTGGAAGAAAACTTTCAGGAGGTTGAAAAGTGGCATTTTTAAAGGAGTTATACGCTTCAGAAATACCAGGTTAGATTTTGGGGAGAAAGGGGAAGAAGAGGTTGGAAGAAAAAGGAATTAGAAAAGGGAACTGTAGGTTTAAAAACTGTGAAGTGTCAGTCATAAGCTCAGATATTTACAAGTTCCACAAGCCTAGCTAGAGAGCTCACATAACCACCCACCGACAGAGCAAGATCCATATTTCTCTGTAAGTGTCATGGTTGACACTCTGGTGAGAAGACTGATCTTTATTTGCTAGTGGGCTTCCAAGCCACTTTTACCATAGTATGTTTGACATTTACTACTTTTAAATTATTGCAATTGCACTGTAGATTCATGAAGAAGTGACTTCAGTTTCGCTACCGCCAATTCTAGCTTTCTATTTGACAACACGTAAAGATCAAACCAAATCTAACAAAGACCTTCCTGTTTGTTTTAACCAGAACATTTGAATTATCTTCAGCAAGAGCACAGGTGGTATGAAGGACCCACTTCTACACACATAGCTGCAGTGCAGTCATATGGTGCCAAGAGATAGAGCATTATGCTAAGAGAGCAGAGGAAAGGAGTTTAGTAGTTAGTGAGGAGATCACGTTCAAAGACAATAATTAAAGTGCTCACCTGTGTAAATGACTAGGCATGTCAGAGAACAAATCAGCTCCAGAGCTAGGATTCCCAGGATAATATAGAGATATATTCTGTTATTGTCAGGAAAAGAATGCTGAGCCGATAGTATCAGAAGCAGGGCAGTATTTCCTGAAACAAACATGAACAACATTTCCCAGTTGTTACAATCTAGCCAATTAGTAGCAAATCACTCAAAACCCCTTCCCCAAATCTATTTTTGCTGGACTAGATTGTTTAGCCATGTTATGAAAAAATAACGGGGCAAATAAATTACCTTCACTTCTGTAAAAGTTTAAGTAATAAATAGATTACAAATCTGTGACTGCTATTACTTGTGAATTTGTTAAGGTACATGGATCCTTCAGATCATAACATTCATCTAGTCCAACAAGATCCTGAGCTTGGGTTCTGAATCTCTTGAAGTCTCAAATCACAACCAAGACAGACAGCTATGTGCTCTTGTTTAAGCATCTTTTATATTTTCTAATACTCTGAATTTTTGGTATGATAAACTTGTTCTGCATATCCAGTCAGAGCTCTGTGCTTACAGTGATACTAACATAAAGCCAACACTTCAGTTTAACTTTATGTAAGTGAATTTTAACTGCTAAAAAACACACAGAAGTACCAAGTCATCTCTGTATGCAGGGAGGAGTTTTAAACACTTGTCTCAATGACTGAAAGTGCATGTTATTATAAGCAGTATGTGAAAAAGGAAGATATTCTGCTATTCTGAGTTATGCCAGAAATGACCTTCCAAATAAAGTCCAACAGATCACAAGCTTGATTTTATTCAGTTCTCTTGGTACTGAATTCTTCCATGAGTGGCAAGGAAAAGATATGAACCATTACCATGCATAGCATGCACCCTCATTAACTCTCTATTGTAACCTCTACCTATTCTCAAACCAACCCACCCCTCTTTGCATGTACAGATTTGGTCCCATCTAAAATAGACAAGAAGTTCTTCAGGGTACAGATCAGGTGCTGCTTTCCAGCTACAGAGTTCCTGTGACATTCTAGGCAATTTAATGGAAGCATCCATGTAGAAGACACAGTAGAAGACAGCTTTGAACTTCCTGGCTTTAGAAGTATCTTGGTTATACCATGATGGATAGCTAAACTAGTTAGAGCCAAAATGACAGTTTTCACTTCGTTGTTTTTTCACTGCAGTGAAATCAAAAGTTTTCCATACCAAACAACGTTTAGCTTGTATGGTTATATACTTTAGACTTCGAGTACTAGATGCCACAAACTTACAGGAGAAAAAAAACCCCCAAAACACCTCTTGGTCTGAAAGTATTAGGAAAAAGCCAGGCTTGCTGCAGCTTGATTCTGGATTGCACTTTAGGCATCAATCCTCATTGTTAGAGCTCTACCTAGTGGCCATCTCATGATGTTTCTCCCACTTGAGAGAAATCTGGGCTTTTGGACATGTAAAACAACTGAAACTAAAAAAGAACATTAGTTTGATGAACTGTGATTCTATTGGCTATCAGGATTGGTGGGTGAAGTTTATTGTTCACTTATCCAAAGTACAGCATGTTCTCAACTCAGTCAATAGTTCCTACAGCACAAACCCCTTTCTAAAGTTACCATAAATTGATTTTTGACAAGGAATTAGATTGTTTTTTTCCTGGAAAGTGGGCAAGAGCTTTTCAGTAAGAAGGAGGTCTTCCATGCCATCCCTGAAGTCAGGAAAGAGTAAAACTGTAGAATAATACCACAAATTGGTTTCTCCCCAGAAAAAGAAAAGCAAAAATTAAACTGATCACCCTGTTGTCGGCTGAGGAAATTCTTATTTTACCTAATATTAGCCAACTGGAACTTTAGCCACAGGCAGCTCATTGTTTTCATTAGAAGTCAAGCACGCTTGGACAGTGACAAAGGGAATGCTGATGTCAAGGGCCTTTTACTCTCCATTGTTTCATTCTGTATTTTCGGGCTGCATCTAAACAAGTGTTGATGTGTGGTATGTGGTGCCATGGACCCGTCTGTGATGCCACACACCACACGTGGGTGTTCCCTGCACTGTTACCTTGTAGCACAGGGTTGTTTATTTTTTAACCCAGAGATCCCAGGGTCAAAAAAACAAAACAAACAAAAAAAACCATGCAAAAAAAAAAGAAAAAAGTGGGGCAGTTTATGTGGTAGCAATGTGTGCCACCCAAAACCAGAGCCTGGCTGGCTGGAGCCATGCTCTGGCTGCCGGCCAGGCTCACAGCTCCAGGAGTGCTGCAGCTCCCTGAGACCCCCAGGTAAGGCTGCTGGGGCCAGCACAGTGGCTGGCACCAGCCTCCCCTACCCTACCTAGGGTAACCTGCTGCATACCAGATGGCATGGTGGCATGGGCGTTCCCCAGGGACAAGTAGAAGTGGCATAAAGTGTGTTGCTGCTGCTTGTCCCCGGGGAAACAAACACCTGCGCTCATGTGGACACAGCCTTGGAGGGCATCTCTTGGAAAGGATCTTTTCACATATGCAGCCAAGGAAACCTGTATGAACTAACTGTCTAACTATTCCTATATCCACCTTTCATTTTAAAGATGCCACACATCTCAATTCCATTTCTCCATCCTCAAATGTAATTTATTCTTGTTAAGAAGTTTAACAAAGATTAAAATTTCTGAAATTTGATTGCAGAGTCCAGATCAGAAGGCTGTAAACTTTCTAGAAGAATGGGAGCCAACCGTTTTTGCAAGGGATGCCACATATTAGTCATACCCCATCCCAAGTGCCACCCTGATCCCCTTATTCTGCCCAGTCTGCTGCTCTGCTTTCCTACCAATGTGCCACCATGCTCCCTACTCCCTCCCTAATCTACCATGTGCCACTCAGAACCAGCTGTTGTACTATTCAAAGCCTATCTTACTTTAGAAAGGCTTTGAAGAGTGTGAGAGTGTACGTGTAAATGCTTCAGCTCACAATATTTACCAATTTACTCCCAAGTAATATTTACCAAGCTCACAATATTTAGCAGTGTAAATTAACAGAAACAGCCAAAAATACAAACAAGGTCAGCTCACCTGTTGAGTGTACCACTAGCGGAAGCCTTTTAAGATGTCTAGTTGATCGGTAGATTGAGAGGTAGCCTCGGCTTCTGGCTTTACTGTGATGATACTGGACATACCGTTCAAACAGAACAAGCAGAATCCATAGAATTACTTTTGCAATTACTACTACAGTCTGTACCTTAAAAGGATAGGTGTAGTTTTTAGGGCACTTATCTTCATTTGGGTCAGGATAAGAACAAAACATGACTGCTAAAAATACTAAGACAACAAATGCAACCTGGGGAAAAAGGGGGAAAAAATTAGGGTTAGCACCTACAATTTTAGGAGAAAAAGTAGTCATACCAATCCATTTACTAGGTATTAGTTAAACTAGCAAAGCTTAGTTAAACCGCAACCGCCCCCTCTCCCCTGATCCCAGGGGGACCCAAGTAGCATGGCAAAGTACTCGCTTCTTAGTCTGTGGGCTCTGGAATGCAAAGCAGGCAAGAGGCTTGTGGCATTGCTCCCCTTGGTGCTTGGGAGTCAAGTGGACTGAGCAGCACAGCAATGTCCCCTGCCTGCAACCCACTTGGTGGATGCCAGTGTGCAAAGAGAAGTTGACAGCTGCTGCTTCTCTATCTCTCCCTGGTTCACAGGAGGGGCAGGTACAGTTGTTACGCTAGGACATCTCTAGACCAGGATGACCCTGCTCCCCAGAAGGCACGCAAGCCTTTCCCTAAGCTCTACTCCTCTTCGTCCCCAACGGCAGTTAAGTCATGGGAAAGTGTACAAGCATTTGTTCTCCAGGAGAAACTCTCCTGCAAATACTTCTAACTGGCTGGAGTCAGGTTATTTTTCTCCTGGAACCACCATTTTTGGTTTAGGATAAGCACTGTGAATGTTTGTATGTTTGTGGTTTCTACTGGGAGAATAGTGATTCTCCTGGTAGAAGTGGAACTTCTGTACACAGGCTTCTCCCCTCCACCAAAACTTACATGTATAAGCAACAAAAAATTGGCAATGAAAACTGTAGGAATAGTATAGAATCTTGGTCTCAGCCGGGAATGCAATGCATGAGACGGAAGTAGTGGTGTGTCAAATAGATGATCATCTTCTGTGCTCTGAGTTATCTCCAAGGACCCCTGAAATTTAAGAAAAGGAAGCTTCAGAACAGCTTTGCAGGGAAGCATGTATATCTGGTATATTCCACCCTTCCTCCTTGCATGCCCCTCCCACACACACACACACCTTTTAAAGATGTTTATTGGCAACCTCTTGTACAACACTTCGTGCTGTTTTATAAGAACATCAACTGAGATAGTTTTAGTATGTGACTTGAGGAATGGCATATGATACTAAGAGATATTTTGTCAAACTAAATATTGGGTTGTAAGAAACTGACATTAGATGACCATACCACGACTCAACTGCCCATTCTGGAGGGAGCCTTTAGTCCTTAAAAGGTTTTTTAAATAATTGAGTGCTTTTGAGACTTGATGCCTTATAATATCCACGGATGATACCTTCTTTAACATATTCAAAAAAAAGTGAATCAGTCAATGGCTGTATGGAAGTCATTAAAAAAAAAAAAGTTTTCTTTAGAAATGTTTAACTTTGGACTGATGATCGAGGGAGGGAGGAGAGAGTGCAAGGACCATACACACTTTGAACTTAGCTGTTTGTTCCTCTTTGTAACTAGCTTTTCCCTTCTGTACATTTTCTTCTGATGATGCTAGTAGACAATCAGCAGCTCTCATCTCATGAGACAGTAAAGGTCACAATCGCAACACTGGCAGCCTTTAGTTTCTTTCTCACAAATGCCAACAGTTTTTGCTTACTGGCTACAAACAATAAAACTTGGGCTCTTGAAAAGCCTGTGCCAGATCACACCGTCCCCACAAAAAACCTTGGTTGGGAGCAGCAAAGTTAACACAGCTGAATGTATTTCAGGGGTCTTAATATTTTTAGAAAACCTCATAAGTCGGCTCTAAACCAGTTGCCTGCTGTTGCACTTTTTAGTGTTTTTTTGTTTTTTTTTAGGCTGCTAAAGCTCTGATGAACCAAGTCAGTACCATAAGTCTGCTCTTATACTGTTTTCATTACTGTAGCTTCCAGCTTCCTTAGGTGCAGAGATCAAGTTCATGAACAGATTTGCAAATTTGATTTCTTCTGCCTCTCAGCTTAGTATCTTCTGCCTCTGCTGCAGCAATCCATTTTGAAAAAGAACAAAGCCAATAAAAATAAGATAAAATACAAAAAAATCCCCTCATGTAGCTCTTGCTCACCACTGAACACTGACAGCCAAGTCCAACAAGACCCTGCAGCCCTGGATTCTGTGGAAGGCCCCAGCCCTCATTTAGCTCCGCTAGGAGCTGTGCAGGCCAAAAGGAAAGTCTCAGCAGACTGGATGTTCTAGGACAGGGGTGCTCAACCCCTGGCTTGCAGGCCACACTCAGTCCACATACCCATGACACTTAGCCCACAAGGCTCCCCAAGGGTCCAGATGTTTAGCAGTGGCAGACTGGTGGCAATGAACGCCACCACCACCCCCACTACCACCAGATTTCCAAAGCCCCATGTAGCTGCATCACCCATGGGCAAGCGACTGCTAAATGGCAAGACTGGGCCCTGGACAGGCCTGCCTTGAAAGGCAGATCCAGCCTGTGGGCCTGCCTGGCACTGGCCATTGGGCCTGGTGAGCTAAATGTTTGGGCACCACTGTTTTAGAATACTTACATATTCAGAACATGGCAACTTCCATTATGATTTTCCTAAATACTTTCATTTGATGTAATAACTAGCTATTTGGTGGGGTATACTGTCAAAGCATCAAGTCATATGTCTTTGAGTAAGGCTGACCAAAAAGTCCAGGAGCATAACCCTTTCTAATTATGAAAAATCCTCAAGACTAGTTTTAACATTTCCAAAAATTATAAAGGAAAAACCCCTTTCAACTTTGAGGCTCTTGCCCATACACTATGGGCAACAAAAAAAGCACATACATGCCCACTGGTGTTATTTTTTTTGCAGTACACCTCACAAAAAGAACTTGGTTAAGTGGGCAGCAGCTCCAGACTTGTGTCATATGCAGGCTACATAAGACCCACAGGTTGGCTCAGGAGGCAAACTCATGAGATGCAAATGCAAACAGGGAAGCAAGATGCATTTACTTAAATCTAGGGCTCTCTGGAAGGCTGTCAAGTATAAGAACCAAAACAAACGTATTAGTCTTAAAAGCTCTTTTGTTACACTGAAGCCTACCAAGAAAATACATGTCAAAAACTGGAAATAAGGAAAGCAGTAAAATTATTCTCTGATCTGAAATCAAAGCTACCTGCTACCATATGGATGTAGTAGTAGAGAATATGGATTGACAGCTGAAGACTTGGTATTCAGCCTGCTGTAGCCTTGACATAGGGCATCACATTCTGTTAGCATGCTCTATCAGACTGTAAACATCTTGCACCCCAAAACAAGAGTGGTCTAGATGGTTTTCCAGCATGCCAAATGCTACCTTCAACAGAATATGTTTCAACTGCTTCAATACCCAGAGTACCATTCCAGCAATGTGTATTTTAGTCTCCAATTATCCAAAACCATTCACCTAGTCTTTCTACCACTGGCCTGCAGCACACCAGCAGCCCTTCAGCATTTCCTAGAATGTCCTGCTAGGCACAGGGCAGTAGGTTCTTCTCAACGTAGTTCCATCGAACTAGACAGTCTAGGATTTGCTCTTAGGCAGCTAGGGAAGTATTACTGAGCAGTGACAATGTAGACCTGTCAGTCAAACCATTAGTTTTTAGGTCATCTTTATAGAAAGCAGGAAGACACTGATAAGACGTGTTTCATGCAGCTCTCGCATGTTTCAGTGACAGCATTAGCTATTTTGTAGACTGACACCAAAGCCATTTCACCATCAGCAACAGTCCTCCTTTGACATTGAAGCAGGCATGAGAGGTCATGCTGATGGTGAAATCAACTCTATCATTAAAGTACCCTGAAAAGCCTCACAATACTGGACAGCAGAAGCTATGACCATTTGGAGAAAAAAAAAAAATCAGACCTAAAACTTGCATTTGCAGAACATATGCAACTCATTTAAGTCCATGGGAATTGTTTGCATCCTACAAGCCTTAGCTTGGGAAAGAAGCAAGTTGGGACAACTGATATTTATAGTCTTACTTAAAATATACCATAGATCTTACGATTACTTTCCAAGAAGAGAATTGCTCAAAGCCAGCCATTCCTCTTATACAAACTGTTCTTTGCCTTTGGACTTTGAGTTTTCTGCAAGAAACAGATTTATGAAGAGAGACTGATTGTTGCTCACTTAGCTCACCAGCCTTAAAAAACCCAAATCCTCCAATAACTCTCCCCCACAACTTTTTTTTTTTTTTTGGTTAGGAGCTGAGTGATCACCTAATCAGACAACCAGAAATACTCTTCAGAGGCTCAGAAGAGATGAAAACCGTACCCCAGCTTCTAAGAGTACGAGGGATGTTCTGTGGATGTCTAAGGATTCCTAGATACAGAAGTCTTACAAACTTATCTGCTCAGACTCAAATGTCTTTATTAGTCTGCTATTAGAAGAAGTTCCAGTAAAAGGAAGGAAAGAAATCTGAAAGGAAAGAATTTTTCAACCCTTGAGTTTCCTGACTGCAGCAAGCTCTAATCAGATGTGCCCTTCTTTCACATCCACATTTCAGGGGGATTCTTTTCAGGACAGATCATACACCATTGTAACAAAAACACCAAACAGTGACTAATGGCCCTGGTATATAATAGGGGTTGTAGACATACTGCAGTGAAAAAACCCCCCAAACACAAACAAACGAAAAAACCCTTTCAATTTCTGCCTCTGCTGCTACCTGGGTGAGGGAAATTATATACAACTTATTGTTAAATCTTCAGCCATTGAAACCTACAGAACAAGATTCAAGAACATTTTGTATAAAAACCTTTACTTTCCTGGAAAGTTTTAGTTTTCCGTTTAGATTTATATGGATATATTTTCCTGCTAAGTCTGACAACCATCTAATGTTCATCTATGCTGGAAGAATGATGATTACTGCATCAGTCAAAAATGATAGACAAATAGAATGTACTGTTCGCAATAAGCACAATCATCTGACACGTGGAACTTCTAACTCAAGAAAGCTAAGTGCTTTGACAAAGCTATACTGGTATAGTACTACAAACCTTGGTTAAAGTCAGCAACACCTATTCTTCCAAGTCTCACTATTGTAAGGCTAAATGCAAGATCCTATTTTTGAAGGTTTTGGCCAGAGTGTGAATGAGAGTGTAAACAGGATAGCAAAGTTAGTATGAAGTTTAACCATTTCTTTAAAATTTAAAAGCAATTCCCTCTCCCTTTTCCAAGTCACAAATTGTAGAGTTTACTGCACCTTTTAACTTATCAGACTTTTCCACACAAGTGTCATCCTGCTCATACCACTTCACCAATTAAAAGGCAAAGCATGCTTAAGGAGTTGCAGGATCAGGACCTTCATTTAGGTTTTGCTTGTTGACTATACATTTTGTAAAACGTTTTTCAGATAACTTGCCAAAAAATTTAGTTTGGAGAGACACAGAGAGAGACACACCAAGACCCCATTCTAAAGTCTAAACTTTTAACCAATTCCCAGGATCTATTTTGTAGCCATGTTGGTCTGGAGGAAAAAAAAGAGAAACACAAAGCTCTAAAAACTCTTGGTTCAGAGGTAATACCTTTTATTAGGCCAACTAAAAACATCTCTGAACCAAGAGTTTAAGAACAGTGTGCTTCTCTTTTAACCAGTTCTCTGTCACCCCCCCCCCCCCCTGGAATGTATCTTAGGGCTTTTTTTTTTAATGGAACCCTTTAACTA